CCTGACTCTCGCCGTGGGAGGGCTTTTGTCCGGACTGGTCGGCCATGTGGTCACATATTTTAATATGTAAGGATGACAGTTAGATCGCAAGGTTCCAAAATAATGATTTAGAAACTATCTTTAGCTAAAAAAACTCGGCTATGGTAGTCATAAATTTACCTTTATCGCTCTCTCCATTGGGCTCTCTCCAGTGAAGCTCCATAGCCAACCAAAAGGGGAAACCAATCCGATAGGGCAATGCTGATGACGGCAGCGGTCACAAAGAACTGAAAGTGGAATTCATCATGAGCATAATGGTTGGCAGTACTCAAATCTACCACTAAATACCGGTCCCAGGCAGTGGGTATAGTTGTCCACAACCCAAAGATGGGTGTCATGGAGTGCACACATCCTCTTTCAGGTACCGAGGGTCGCGACGATGAAGTTCAATACACTGGTGGAGCAGCAGCATCAAATTTAAATATATATCTATAAGGACAGACAGACAGATGGTTGACGGACTTTTGATCTTTTAAAATATTTTTTTTTTTCCTTTAAAGACGGACTTTGGATTTTCTTTTAAAAATTTATTTTTCTTCCTTAAATTTAATAAATACATATATGATTACAATTAACAATTATTAAAAAATGCGTTATATAATAATAATAATGAAACTGTTTCGGAAGAAACCACTCTTCCTCATCAGCGATCTTTCATTTCCAAATAAGGAAAAATGAGGTCGATCGGACAGCTTTTCTCATAATAACGAGATTTTTATCTCGTAAAGACAAGATTTTTATATCGTAAAGACAAGATTTTTATTTTTAATTCAATTCATTAATATGCATTTCCCTTTTTACGGAACGTTCGTTCCATTCTAAAAGGTTTATTACATTTCCCACTACGGTGGTTAGATAATGTATTGGGTGAGCTTTAACATCATCCAAATCTGCAAATGCCATAATATTTGCAACATTTTCTTTTATCGTCTTTCCTTTCAGCTCAAAGTTGTCGCTGATTAAATTCGATAAATTTATGTCTCTATTAGAAGTGGGGAAATACCTTTCTAACAATTTTGTTATATTATCTACTTGAACGATGGCACTTTTTCTAAGTTTTTCCGACAATTGATGCTCATTTAATCTAGATATCCGTTCTTTTATATCTGTGCAAACTCTAACGCCACGTCTACATTGAGTGGGTGCCTGATATGCACTCTCTTTAAGTGATCTTTATCTGCCAATACTGGGAAATATGTACCAGCTGTGGAAATTGCAAAGGAATTTGCACGGCATTTGTCTGAAATGATCGCCATTAAGTTACTTTCCATTTCATTAATAACAATTTGTTCTAAAACAGTTTGCACGGCTTCATTTATTATGATAGAACCCAATTTAGATCCTTTCTTTAAAGCAACTAATTTCAAATAAAGATATTTGAATTTTTTTCCTTTCAAATTAAATGCGGCAACTGCCATGATTTATATACCTAAAATGGTACAAATGGTACTCATCAAAATATATAACAAACTTTTTGTTCTGAAAAAGCCGTAAATTGTTCCTGAGATCTATAATCCCCTCCTCAACCAAATGAGAGCTCATTGAGAGCATTTGCATTATGGAATCTTGAATTTCCATTTTGGGAAACTTTACCCCTTTGGAATATTTTGTAAATATTTTAAACATAATTTTTTTCATACTTGCAGTTTTAATAGGTGAGACCTAACATATCATGAATTGATTATTGTGAGGCTGTCGGCAAATGCACCAAAGCCTGTTCGGGTCATCGATCGGCTCATTAGCCAGGGATGGTTCCCTTGAATCTTCATCGATCGGCTCATTAGCCAGGGATGGTTCCCTTGAATCTTCATCGATCGGCTCGAGGTTGTGGCCGGACCTGATGGTGCGCTGCACTCCTTCACTACCTCTTCCTGGGGCTGTTCCATAAGTGGAGAGTGGCGTGTAAATGTGGCGTGCTCCTGTTGTCGCTGCTGCTCCTCCTGCTCCAGCTCTCGCTGCTCCTCCAGCTCCAGTTGTCGCTGCTGCTCCTCCCGGCCAATCAGTATGCCCGTGATGGGGCACAACTGGACCTGTTGCTGGCGGGCATGGGCCAGGTGCTGGGCATATCGCCTGACAGCTCGCCGCTGAATCTCGGCGTCTCGTGCTGATTTTTTTTCGTGCTCTTCTATGGCACGCTCTACGATTGAATCCTGCTCTGATTCTTCCTCTGAATCCTCCTCTGCATCCTCCTCTGCATCTCTCACTGCATCTCTCTCTGCATCTTTTTCTGCATCTCCCTTTGTACGCGTACTCGCGTACATATGATCTCCACTAGCCGTATGTACTTGGCGGGAGGTGGTAGCTCTTGCTAGTTTCTCCTGCTGGCTGCGTGCACGTGCACGAGCTCTTGCTAGTTTCTTCTGCTGGATACGCAGTGACGGCAATACGTGACGGGCGCGTTGACAGCTGACACTGCATGGATATGGGATCATTTGAAATCCTGCACGGACAAATGTATGTATTATTGCTCCAGTGAGCGGCCTGGGCCTCCTGCGGGACATATTGGACATGAGCGGCCTGGGCCTCCTGCGAGACATATTGGACGTGTTGTACCTGGGCCTGCTGGAAAGTATGAAATATAATATATATATTATATATATGGTAATACTTACGTTGTATTGGACGTGTGGTGCCTGGGCCTGCTGGGGGGCCACGTATGGCAGCACATTGTGCTGCCTCAGGCGCTCCAGCAAGGCGCGCCCGTCGGCTGCCATGCCGCCCGTTTCGCCACGGTGGGCGGCCATCATCATCGCGAAGGCTCTGTCGCAGATCTGTTGCCTGCGTTCCTGCCTTTCCCTGAGAGTGTTTGTGCGGCCACCGCTACCTCCACGGCCACCGCTACCTCCACGGCCACCGCCAGCGCCGCCAAAATGAAAATGTTGGTGAAGGGACATCTGGAAAGGAAAATATGAAATATAATATATATATATAATATATATATTATATATATGGTAATACTTACGTTGAAATTTCGGTGAGAAAACGAAAAAAAAGGAAAATGAGATGAGAAATTCTGTTGAACTGCTTGAGTTGAAGCCACGTGCTTTCCGTTTGTTCAATAACGCCCGCCGAAAAATCTAGAAGATCCCGGCCGCCGTCGACGCCGTTCAGTTGAGCTAAATGAGCGGCGCGGCTCAATTATTGAGCACAAAATAAATATATATATTTTATTTTTAAATTGACCTGCCAAGCTACATATCATATATTGTTGGATTACATATCATTTTATTTTCATTTGTTTATATTTTCTAGAGCGAACAAACTTTAAGGTAAATTTAAAATTACCCGCAAAGTCAGCCATTTATAAATGGCTCATTTTGAGCACTTTGCGTCCATCCTTTTTCCACCGAGTTGGCATCATCTTATCTGCCTATCTGGTCACACTCATTTTTCTGCAAGCCGGCGCCGGTTTTTGTTTAGAGTTTTGTTAACTTTTTGCCACTTTCCTTTTAATCATGAAATCATCTTCTTCAAGTGATGAAGACCATCCAACAACCTCCAGCCTACCTCCATGGGACGAAAGGCCATGGAACAAAGACCTGCCCGTAACATTCACAAGATGGGTTGAAGCACTAACCATACAGTATATAGATGTGCCAGTTCATACAACGAAAGGGGCGCAGCTGAGCTTGCAGCGAACGTTCCCAGATCTTCGGCTTTGGGAATGGCCGCGTTCGGCTCTGGGAATGGCCGCGATCGGCTCATGACGTCACACGAGCCGACTGGCAGCAAGCATGCATGAGTTATGTACGTGTACACTCCAAAATATATGATTGTATGCATAGAATAATTTTTAGCTGCCGAAACCGACTTTGTTCGAGATTTCGGTTTACGTAAACGTGTGTGTGCCATGTATTCACACATACTGTGCTTGTGTGTGGGCTCTACAATTGTTGGCCGCTTGAATTGGTTTTTCGTTTTGTTTTGAGGGCTGATGTGATGTAGCGACCTATTCAGGGCCGGATCAACCCTCAACCGGGCCCTGGGCAACCATCAATCTGGGGCCCTCCTTTATTTTGTATTTTTCTCAGTGGCTAATATATTTTTTATTCATTATTTGGAGTTTTGTTTTTTCAACAAAATTTTTCTGTTATCCCTAGGGGGCCCTAGGCAACTGCTAATCCGGCCTGGACCTATTCCCGTCGTAAGACTTCATATTTTCTTGGTTTGTTCTGTAGCTCGACTCGACGCGGGTTGAGGCATTGACGAAGCGGTTCATAAAATATTTTTTCGTTTTGTTTTGAAAAGCTGATGTTGCGACGGGCGCGCGGTTCTCTTTTAGGCTAGCCTTTGCCTCTGCTTTCGGCTTCGTCAATGCCTCAACCCGCGTCGAGTCGAGCGACAGAATACACCAAGAAAATATTAAGTCTTACGACGGGAATAGGTCCAGGGCCGGATTAGCAGTTGCCTAGGGCCTCCTAGGGATAACAGAAAAATTTTGTTGAAAAAACAAAACTCCAAATAATGAATAAAAAATATATTAGCCACTGAGAAAAATACAAAATAAAGGAGGGCCCCAGATTGATGGTTGCCCAGGGCCCGGTTGAGGGTTGATCCGGCCCTGAATAGGTCGCTACATCACATCAGCCCTCAAAACCAAACGAAAAACCAATTCAAGCGGCCAACAATTGTAGAGCCCACACACAAGCATAGTATGTGTGAATACATGGCACACACACATTTACGTAACCTGTAAACGAAACTCAAAACAAACTCAAAACGTTTTCGGAAAATAAGAATTGATACAAAATATTGTCGTGTCTGTTTACACACATACATTTGCAATTCTCAGCTTGCTTTCGCTTCCCGACATGAGTCATACATGCCGAACGGCCCAGCTCCCGACCCGAGTGTCTCAGCCTCACAGAGCCAAAGCGCTGGGAGCCGGGACAGAACACCCAGCTTGCGCCCCTTTTGTTGTATGAACTGGCACATCTATATACTGTATGGTTAGTGCCAGCACGTCGTTAAGTGGCCTGACTCTCTCCGTGGCAAGATGCTTTTGTCCCGACTGGTCCCATGTGGTCACATATTTTAATATGTAAGGATGACGATAGATCGCAAGGTTCTAAAATAACAATTAGAAACTCGCTCAAGTAAAAAAACTCGGCAATGGTAGTCATAAATTTACCTTTATCGCTCTCTCCATTGGGCTCTCTCCAGTGAAGCTCCATAGCCAACCAAAAGGGGAAACCAATCCAATAGGCAATGCTGACGACGGCAGTGGTCAGACAAGCCACTCCGATCACAAAGAACTGAAAGTGCAATTCATCATGAGCATAATGGTTGGCAGTACTGCAAATCTACCACTAAATACCGGTCCCAGGCAGTGGGTGTAGTTGTCCACAACCCAAAAGATGGGTGTCACGCACACACATCCCCGCTCTCATTTCAGGTACGAGGGTCGCGACGATGAAGTTCAACACACTGGCGGAGCAGCAGCATCAAATTTAAATATATATCTATAAGGACAGACAGACAGATGGTTGACGGACTTTTGATTTTCTTTTAAAAGTTTATTTTTCTTCCTTAAAGACGTACTTTTGATTTTCTTTTAAAAATTTATTTTTCTTCCTTAAATTTAATAAATACATATATGATTACAATTAACAATTATTAAAAAATGCGTTATATAATAATAATAATGGAACTGTTTCGGAAGAAACCACTCTTCCTCATCAGCGATCTTTCATTTCCAAATAAGGAAAATGAGGTCGATCGGACAGCTTTTCTCATAATAACGAGATTTTTATCTCGTAAAGACAAGATTTTTACCGATATCGTAAAGACAAGATTTTTTATCTCGTAAAGACAAGATTTTTATCTCGTAAAGACAAGATTTTTATTTTTAATTCAATTCATTAATATGCATTTCCCTTTTTACGGAACGTTCGTTCCATTCTAAAAGGTTTATTACATTTCCCACTACGGTGGTTAGATAATGTATTGGGTGAGCTTTAACATCATCCAAATCTGCAAATGCCATAATATTTGCAACATTTTCTTTTATCGTCTTTCCTTTCAGCTCAAAGTTGTCGCTGATTAAATTCGATAAATTTATGTCTCTATTAGAAGTGGGGAAATACCTTTCTAACAATTTTGTTATATTATCTACTTGAACGATGGCACTTTTTCTAAGTTTTTCCGACAATTGATGCTCATTTAATCTAGATATCCGTTCTTTTATATCTGTGCAAACTCTAAAATAAGTGGTTTTTGCAAATATTTGACTATACGTAAACTCTAACGCCACGTCTACATTGAGTGGGTGCCTGATATGCACTCTCTTTAAGTGATCTTTATCTGCCAATACTGGGAAATATGTACCAGCTGTGGAAATTGCAAAGGAATTTGCACGGCATTTGTCAGAAATGATCGCCATTAAGTTACTTTCCATTTCATTAATAACAATTTGTTCTAAAACAGTTTGCACGGCTTCATTTATTATGATAGAACCCAATTTAGATCCTTTCTTTAAAGCAACTAATTTCAAATAAAGATATTTGAATTTTTTTCCTTTCAAATTAAATGCGGCAACTGCCATGATTTTAACTTTGTGCAAAACTTTGTTCATATACTTAAAATGGTACAAATGGTACTCATCAAAATATATAACAAACTTTTTGTTCTGAAAAAGCCGTAAATTGTCCCTGAGATCTATAATCCCCTCCTCAACCAAATGAGAGCTCATTGAGAGCATTTGCATTATGGAATCTTGAATTTCCATTTTGGGAAACTTTACCCCTTTGGAATATTTTGTAAATATTTTAAACATAATTTTTTTCATACTTGCAGTTTTAACATATCATGAATTGATTATTGTGAGGCTGTCGGCAAATGCACCAAAGCCTGTTCGGGTCATCGATCGGCTCATTAGCCAGGGATGGTTCCCTAATCTTCATCGATCGGCTCATTAGCCAGGGATGGTTCCCTTGAATCTTCATCGATCGGCTCGAGGTTGTGGCCGGACCTGATGGTGCGCTGCACTCCTTCACTACCTCTTCCTGGGGCTGTTCCATAAGTGGAGAGTGGCGTGTAAATGTGGCGTGCTCCTGTTGTCGCTGCTGCTCCTCCTGCTCCAGCTCTCGCTGCTCCTCCAGCTCCAGTTGTCGCTGCTGCTCCTCCCGGCCAATCAGTATGCCCGTGATGGGGCACAACTGGACCTGTTGCTGGCGGGCATGGGCCAGGTGCTGGGCATATCGCCTGACAGTTCGCCGCTGAATCTCGGCGTCTCGTGCTGATTTTTTTTCGTGCTCTTCTATGGCACGCTCTACGATTGAATCCTGCTCTGATTCTTCCTCTGAATCCTCCTCTGCATCCTCCTCTGAATCTCTCACTGCATCTCTCTCTGCATCTTTTTCTGCATCTCCCTTTGTACGCGTACTCGCGTACATATGATCTCCACTAGCCGTATGTACTTGGCGGGAGGTGGTAGCTCTTGCTAGTTTCTCCTGCTGGCTGCGTGCACGTGCACGAGCTCTTGCTAGTTTCTTCTGCTGGATACGCAGTGACGGCAATACGTGACGGGCGCGTTGACAGCTGACACTGCATGGATATGGGATCATTTGAAATCCTGCACGGACAAATGTATGTATTATTGCTCCAGTGAGCGGCCTGGGCCTCCTGCGGGACATATTGGACACGAGCGGCCTGGGCCTCCTGCGAGACATATTGGACGTGTTGTACCTGGGCCTGCTGGAAAGTATGAAATATAATATATATATTATATATATGGTAATACTTACGTTGTATTGGACGTGTGGTGCCTGGGCCTGCTGGGGGGCCACGTATGGCAGCACATTGTGCTGCCTCAGGCGCTCCAGCAAGGCGCGCCCGTCGGCTGCCATGCCGCCCGTTTCGCCACGGTGGGCGGCCATCATCATCGCGAAGGCTCTGTCGCAGATCTGTTGCCTGCGTTCCTGCCTTTCCCTGAGAGTGTTTGTGCGGCCACCGCTACCTCCACGGCCACCGCTACCTCCACGGCCACCGCCAGCGCCGCCAAAATGAAAATGTTGGTGAAGGGACATCTGGAAAGGAAAATATGAAATATAATATATATATATATATATATATATAATATATATATTATATATATGGTAATACTTACGTTGAAATTTCGGTGAGAAAACGAAAAAAAAGGAAAATGAGATGAGAAATTCTGTTGAACTGCTTGAGTTGAAGCCACGTGCTTTCCGTTTGTTCAATAACGCCCGCCGAAAAATCTAGAAGATCCCGGCCGCCGTCGACGCCGTTCAGTTGAGCTAAATGAGCGGCGCGGCTCAATTATTGAGCACAAAATAAATATATATATTTTATTTTTAAATTGACCTGCCAAGCTACATATCATATATTGTTGGATTACATATCATTTTATTTTCATTTGTTTATATTTTCTAGAGCGAACAAACTTTAAGGTAAATTTAAAATTACCCGCAAAGTCAGCCATTTATAAATGGCTCATTTTGAGCACTTTGCGTCCATCCTTTTTCCACCGAGTTGGCATCATCTTATCTGCCTATCTGGTCACACTCATTTTTCTGCAAGCCGGCGCCGGTTTTTGTTTAGAGTTTTGTTAACTTTTTGCCACTTTCCTTTTAATCATGAAATCATCTTCTTCAAGTGATGAAGACCATCCAACAACCTCCAGCCTACCTCCATGGGACGAAAGGCCATGGAACAAAGACCTGCCCGTAACATTCACAAGATGGGTTGAAGCACTAACCATACAGTATATAGATGTGCCAGTTCATACAACGAAAGGGGCGCAGCTGAGCTTGCAGCGAACGTTCCCAGATCTTCGGCTTTGGGAATGGCCGCGTTCGGCTCTGGGAATGGCCGCGATCGGCTCATGACGTCACACGAGCCGACTGGCAGCAAGCATGCATGAGTTATGTACGTGTACACTCCAAAATATATGATTGTATGCATAGAATAATTTTTAGCTGCCGAAACCGACTTTGTTTGTTTGAGATTTCGGTTTACGTAAACGTGTGTGTGCCATGTATTCACACATACTGTGCTTGTGTGTGGGCTCTACAATTGTTGGCCGCTTGAATTGGTTTTTCGTTTTGTTTTGAGGGCTGATGTGATGTAGCGCCATTCAGGGCCGGATCAACCTAACCGGGCTGGGCAACCATCAATTGGGGCCCTCCTTTATTTTGATTTTTCTCAGTGGCTAATATATTTTTATTCATTATTTGGAGTTTTGTTTTTTCAACAAAATTTTTCTGTTATCCCCAGGGGGCCCTAGGCAACTGCTAATCCGGCCTGGACCTATTCCCGTCGTAAGACTTAATATTTTCTTGGTTGTTCGTTGAAAAAATATTTATGAACCGCTTCGTCACCCGTCGAGTCGAGCTACAGAAGAAAACCAAGAAAATATTAAGTCTTACGACGGGAATAGGTTCAGGCCCGGATTAGGCAGTTGCCTAGGGCCTCCTAGGGATAAAGAAAAATTTTGTTGAAAAAACAAAACTCCAAATAATGAATAAAAAATATAATAGCCACTGAGAAAAATACAAAATAAAGGAGGGCCCCATATTGATGGTTGCCCAGGGCCCGGTTGAGGGTTGATCCGGCCCTGAATAGGTCGCTACATCACATCAGCCCTCAAAACCAAACGAAAAACCAATTCAAGCGGCCAACAATTGTAGAGCCCACACACAAGCATAGTATGTGTGAATACATGGCACACACACATTTACGTAACCTGTAAACGAAACTCAAAACAAACTCAAAACGTTTTCGGAAAATAAGAATTGATACAAAATATTGTCGTGTCTGTTTACACACATACATTTGCAATTCTCAGCTTGCTTTCGCTTCCCGACATGAGTCATACATGCCGAACGGCCCAGCTCCCGACCCGAGTGTCTCAGCCTCACAGAGCCAAAGCGCTGGGAGCCGGGACAGAACACCCAGCTTGCGCCCCTTTTGTTGTATGAACTGGCACATCTATATACTGTATGGTTAGTGCCAGCACGTCGTTAAGTGGCCTGACTCTCTCCGTGGCAAGATGCTTTTGTCCCGACTGGTCCCATGTGGTCACATATTTTAATATGTAAGGATGACGATAGATCGCAAGGTTCTAAAATAACAATTAGAAACTCGCTCAAGTAAAAAAACTCGGCAATGGTAGTCATAAATTTACCTTTATCGCTCTCTCCATTGGGCTCTCTCCAGTGAAGCTCCATAGCCAACCAAAAGGGGAAACCAATCCAATAGGCAATGCTGACGACGGCAGTGGTCAGACAAGCCACTCCGATCACAAAGAACTGAAAGTGCAATTCATCATGAGCATAATGGTTGGCAGTACTGCAAATCTACCACTAAATACCGGTCCCAGGCAGTGGGTGTAGTTGTCCACA